TGGTGCAAAATGGGGCTGATTTGGGGGCTGTCTGGCAAAGATTGAGTTTCCTGCGTGGGAGCAGTCATGGCATGGCTGGATGGTTGTGATCGCACTGATGGATTATCAGGAGAATGCAGGAAAACAGGGAGCACTCAGACTGTTCTGCAGAAGAAAGGCTGAGCACCGACTTTGCCTTTCATCAAGCTGGGGAGTATTCCCGCATCTCTCCTTGGGATGTGACATGGCTGTGAGCGCCCAAACTCTGCCAGGACTAGACCCAAACGCCCCTTTGCAGCAAACCCAGGGCATGGCCCCATGGATGGTGGTGCTGTGGCTACAGGGGATGTGTTTTGGGGCTGGAGTAAAGGCACAGGCGCAACCCATGGCAGAGGGTGACTCGAAAAGCTCGATGGGTTTTGGTTCCCAGAGACACAGGGTAAGAGCCGAGCAGGGTGCAGTACTTGGCTGTTTGCCTGGGAAAAGAGGGATTTTTGTGCTGGCAGAGGAGATGGTGCGAGGACTGGGCATCCTCGGGTGAGACTGCACCTCTCTGCGAGCCCTCCTGGCCCCTGCACTCCCCATCGGTCCCTTGGCACACCCTGACAGCCACCTTCTTGCACCTGCAGCTCCCAAAGCCTGGGGTTTGTTGGGTTCTTCCATACCCTCCAGAAAGAGGGGGCAAAGCGGGAGCAGCCTTGTCCCTCTCTGCCCGGTGTTTTAGCCACCCACCTCTGCCTTGCAGCCGAACTCCATCCCCACCACCCTGTCCTCACCCATGCAGCCCGCCCTCCTTTTTCCAAAATGGCTTTGAGCAGGAGGGACAAGCCAGCAGTGCGGGTTTAATGGATTTTCCAGGTCTGGGTGCCAGTTGGGGTACCCTGAGTAGCAAGGATGCCTTCTGGCCCTGGGGACGTGGGATATCCATCCCACCATGCCAAGCCAGCAGCTGGCAACACTGAGACATCAAATGGTTCCCAGGAAGGCGCTGGGGATAGGTGCTAAATGGCAAAGGACCAAGAAGATTGCAGTTTGTTCTCAGAGAGCTTGGAAAATTCAGGGAATGAAGGACTTGTGAAGAATTATCAGCCTCAGGAGAAGCACACGGCGGGGGTTTCGGAGGTAGGGAAGGGTCCCCGCTTGCGGTGACATGTTGGACGGCAGCGGTTGGCTGTCGGGGGGACAAGCAGCTTTGCTTTGTGGAGTAGCTGCGGTGAGACCGGAGCAAACAGCAGCAGCAGCGGCAAGACCCGGCAGCGGCCGTGCCCAGCACCGTGTGAGCCAGGCTGGGAAGAGCCCGATGTTTCCTTGCTGGAGGCAAGTGCCAGCAGGAGCAAGATTTGGACACTTCAGCACTAGATAAAAGGGAGAAATACTTTACACTGAGGGTGCTGAAACACTGGCACAGGTGTCCAGAGAGGTGGGAGATCCCCCATCCCTGGACACATCCAAGGCCAGGTTGGATGGGGCTCTGAGCAACCTGCTCTCGTTGAAGGTGGCCCTACCCATGGCACGGGTTGGGCTGTGTGGCCTCTAAAGGTCCCTTCCCACCCGAACCACCCTTTGAGCGTATGGTTTTATGAACAATTCCCCACCAGATGCTGAGCAGTAGCATTGGCAGCTTGTTCACAGCGCCCGGCATTGCTGGCAAACAGGCAGTCGAGGGGTGGGGGGTTGGCCCAGGGTCCCCTTCCCGCCTGGAGCCCAGCACTGCTCGGCATGGCCGGAGCTGTCTGTGGGGTCTGGCCAGCTGCCAGCTTCACCCATTTCACCTCTTGAAAATGCCTTGCACACGCGTGTGCAAACCGCGGCCGCTGGGCAGCGCAGGGTGCATGGCACACCCCGGGGCATGGGTGCCTTTGGGCACCGGTCTGCACCCAGGAGGTTTTGGGATGCAGGATGGGGTGGGGCTGAGCTATCGGGGCTGCACCCGACGTGTCTAAGCAGAGCAGCAGGAGAGCCCCGCAGCGATGCCTGCAGCGTCGGGCCCAGGGGACACGTGTCAAACCCCTTGTGAGTATTTATTGTTGCTGGGAGTGGGTTTATAATATGTGGAAACCAGAAAGATGGGAGGGTGCAGCCCCAACACCGTCCCGGCTGTGATTATAGAATCATAGAATCATAGAATGATTAGGGTTGGAAGGGACCTTAAAGATCATCTAGTTCCAACCCTCTGTGTGTGGTTTTCCTGTCCCTCCACGCCGAACTTCAGCTTTCCCGCAGGCTGGCACACGCGTTTTGTGGCGTTTAGAGCAAAAGAAACCAAAGGCAAAGCCTGGAATATCTTTTGATTGTTTTGCGCGTTGGAGCTGGGGTTGTAGTCTTTTGAAAGGTCACCGGCGAGTGGGTGGGGGCAAAAATCACTGGCTGCTGAAATAGGAGGCTTTTTTACGGGCCGTGCAGTGAGGATGAAACCGCTCTCCTAAAATTTTATGGGCTTGCAATAAGCCAGAGGCCCTTCCTCAAGTGGGCGGATCAAGTGTCGCAGCCTTGCTCCATCACAGCCCATTCCTCACCGGGACAAAGGGGGCTGAGCCCCCTGGGAGCAGCTCGGGAGGTGACACGGAGCTCTCAGTCATGTGTCATCCTGTTGCTGGTTGTCCCCTGCTGTAGTCACCTCCCAGAATGCCCAAACTTCAGCTGCCAAAAGCTTCTTGTCCCCCCGACAGCCAACCGCTGCTGTCCAACACGTCACTGCAAGCGGGGACCCTTCCCTACCTCCGAAACCCCCGCCGTGTGCTTCTCCTGAGGCTGATAATTCTTCACAAGTCCTTCATTCCCTGAATTTTCCAAGCTCTCTGAGAACAAACTGCAATCTTCTTGGTCCTTTGCCATTTAGCACCTATCCCCAGCGCCTTCCTGGGAACTGTTCCATGCCAATGAGCATCTCCGGTGCCTGTTCCCTGCTCCTGCTCTTACCTCAGAGGAGAAATCTGGACATAAGGCACCTATTTATGCCGATGAGCGTAGGTGCAGACACACCCAGCAGCCTCCATCTCCCTCCCCACGACTGCAGGTCGGGGAGACCAGCTCGATCTCGGCTCCACGGGAGAAGCAGCAGACGGGGATGGCCCCATCCCCTTCCCGATGCTCCCGGCGCTCCCACCAGCCGGCTGCAAACTCTCGACCCGACGCACGTTTTGCTGCCGGTGCTTATCGGCGCGGTGTCTCGGCCAGCTCCGCCGCTTCGTACCCGGCGGGATTTCATGCTCTTACCTCCTTATATGGAGAAACTATTCTTTTTCTAGCTTGGCATTGTTTATAGCCCAGTTGAAAATATTTAGACTCTGGCTGGGTTCTACAATTATCTTGTAACCTACAGGACATATAATTACTGTTAGTTAATGTGCAATTATCTGCATCCTGTAAAATAAAGGGGTGCAGGCGACGAGGCAGCGTTCTCAGCCCTTCTTGTTTTCTACAATAACAGCAGAAGCAAACCTGTCAAATTCCATTTTAAAACAGTTTTTCTCCCTGGTAAATTCTATTTGGCAAATATCGCCAAACTGGGGTTGGGATTTTTTTTTTTCTTTCTCTCCTATTTTTTTTATTTCCCCCCATGGAAAATTTATTTGAAAATGAGAATTGTTTGGAGTTTGCAAGGCGCTGAAATAAAAAAAGGGGCCAGGAGGCGGCTGCGAGTCCGTGCTGCGTTCCAGAGCCTGTCTTTGATGGGGATTTCATGGCTGACAGCCCATTGACGGGAGCACGGACCTGATTCCCCCTGCCCTGCCCGGCTGCAGGGTCGGTTGTAAAATCCTACCGGATCCAATCTGCTCTGGATGGAGAAAACTGAGTGGTGTGAGGTAAGGGCCCGGCTCGCCTGCGAGGGAAGTGCCAGCGGGGTTTTTATGCTTTGAGGAACGGCTGGGCTGCGGCCCGGGATGATCCACACGGCCGAGGTGCCTGGTCTCACCGCACGCCTGGCAGCTGCGACAGGGTGGTCCCGACAGTCCGTTGATTTTTTCCTGAGTTTTCCGTGATTTTGGCTGGTTTTGATGGAGCTGCTGTGTCGCTGTGCCGGCGGGGCGGGATCTGGGCTCCGGTTGAGCAGCATGACCCTGTTCACTGAGGTGGTCTGGGTGAGCAGGTGGCACCTTGCCGAAGGACAGGGACATCAAACTGCTCTGGGGCTCTGCGAGGGAGCGGGGAGGACGATCGAGCCGGGGGCTCCCTCCGCTGCTCACCCCGTCCCAAGGAGGGGGGTGTCAGGTGAAGAAGTGTCACAAGCTGGCATGGCACAAGTTTGTCCGTCCTTTGTTCACAGCCACCCACTGCAGTATCGACCCCCGAGGTGAGGAAACCTGGCTGGCGTGAGGAGAGGTGGACATCCACCTGCCTAGCCGGGCTGCGCGCTGCCGGGGATGGGTGGGATGGGGACACTGACGGGTCCCCACCAGCCCACCCTGTTTCCCCTTGGCAGCGCAGCCCTGGCTCCGTGCCTCAGCTCCCTGTCGCACCACTGGACCGGTCTCCGGAAGGTGGAGGGGACGAGCTGGAGCCAAGGGGACACTGGTGGTGCCGTGGGAGTGGGTCAGCCAGCCTGAGCCACAGGGATGAGAAGAGGAGGCTCCGAGGAGACCTCATTGCAGCTTTCCAGTATCTGAAGGGGCTACAAGGGTGCTGGGAGACGACTTTTTACAAGGGCCTGTAGTGACAGGACAAGGGGTAACGGGTACAAATTGAAAACAGGGAGGTTTAGATTGGATATCAGGAAGAAATTCTTCCCGCAGAGGGTGGGGAGCACTGGGACAGGTTGCCCAGAGAAGCTGTGGATGCCCCATCCCTGGAAGTGTCCAAGGCCAGGCTGGATGAGGCTTGGAGCAACCTGGTCTAGTGGAAGGTGTCCCTGCCCATGGCAGGGGGTTGGAACTAGATGATCTTTAAGTTCCCTTCCAACCCAAACCATCCTGTGATTCTATGATGGGGGGAGGGAAGTGTTGGCCCCGGGAGAAGGCCGAGTAATAAGGATATTTGTTTTGCCTGTTTTGCAGAGTTTCAATGTTCTGACTTGCTCTAAGATGAAGGTATGGAAGTTTGCAGCCATTGCATCGATGCTCCTCAGTTCCATGTTATCCATTTTAGTTTGTAGAGACATGTTCAACGGAAGCCGGAAATACAGCCTCTTGCCTTCCTCGCCGTCTTCCTCACGGGCATCCTCCTCCTCCTCGCTGCCGGCGGCTCCGCGGAGATCCCCACGGGCCCTGCAACACCACAGCTCGCTGCTCGCCCAGTGTAAGCTGCTGCACCCCTGCCCTGGGGCCACCATCCCTCCCGCAGGATCTGACCCCAAAACCCCCCTCACAGGACGTGCTTTCGGCTCGCAAGCAAAGCCCGGCGGGTTCACGCCCCGTTTGCTTTCCCCACCGCCTTCTCCCGCTTTGGTGCACCCCCGTTATGAGTGTTTGAAGAGCAGCGTGGGGTGCAGCGGGGAGGGCTCGGGGCGAGCGGGGGGTCCCGCAGAAACGCAGCCGCTGGGCACCAAACCTTGGTGCAAACACGTCACCTCTCCCCATAGGGAAACCGGATGCAAACAGCCCATCCTAATGCAAAGAAGGTGGTATTTTAGCTCCAAATGGCTTTATGTAGTTATTTATTACTTTATTTTTACAAATGCAAAATGTCAAACGGGAGCTGGAAACGAGGGGGAACGGCTCCGCTCTGCGGGACGGCCGCGGCTTCCCCCCCAGCGCACCTCGCCCCCCTGCGCG